AAAATTTTTTCCAATCTCACATTTTGCTCAGGATTTTGGAGGGGAAAAAAATGGGAATTTGAGGCAGGGAAAATTTTTTCCAATCTCACATTTTGTTCAGGATTTTGGAGGAGAAAATTGGGGGAAAAAATGGGAATTTGAGGCAAGGAAAATTTTTTCCAACCTCACATTTTGCTCAGGATTTTGGAGGGGAAAATTGGGGGAAAAAATGGGAATTTGAGGCAGGGAAAATTTTTTCCAAACTCACATTTTGCTCAGGATTTTGGAGGGGAAAAAAATGGGAATTTGAGGCAGGAAAATTTTTTCCAACCTCACATTTTGTTCAGGATTTTGGAGGGGAAAAAATGGGAATTTGAGGCAGGGAAAATTTTTTCCAATCTCACATTTTGCTCAGGATTTTGGAGGGGAAAATTGGGGAAAAAAATGGGAATTTGAGGTTTGGGGAGGGATTTTTCCAACCTCACATTTTGTGCTCGGTGTGCACAATATAGAAGGGGAAATTTGAGGGGAAATGGGAGGAAAAAATCAGGGAAAAAAGAGGAAATTGAGGTGGGGAAGTTTTGCAACCTCGCATTTTGTGTTTGGGAGGGGAAAATTGGGATGAAATCGGGAAATTTGAGGTAGGAAAGGGAATTTTTTCCACCTCACATTTTGCATTTTTGGAGGGGAAAATTGGGATGAAATCTGGAAATTTGAGGTAGGAAAGGGAATTTTTCCCACCTCACATTTTGTGTATCCTGAGCACAATTTCAGAGGTGAAAATTAGGGGTGAAATCAGGAAATTGGAGGATTTTCCCACCTCACATTTTGCATTTTTGGAGGGGAAAATTGGGATGAAATTGGGTAATTTGAGGCAGGAAAGGGATTTTTTCCCACCTCACATTTTGTGTTTCCTGATCACAATTTCAGAGGGGGAAAATTGGGGTAAAATTGGGATGAAATCAGGAAACTGGAGGCAGGAAGGGGGGGATTTTCCCACCTCACATTTTGTGTATCCTGAGCACAATTTTGGAGGGGAAAATTGGGGTGAAATCAGGAAATTGGAGGATTTTCCCACCTCACATTTTGTGTTTCCTGATCACAATTTCAGAGGGGAAAATTGGGGTAAAATCAGGAAATTTGAGGCAGGAAAAGGGGAGTTTTCCCACCTCATATCTTGTGCTCACCACACACAATTTAGGAGGGGAAAATTGGGGTGAAATCAGGAAATTGGAGGCAGCAAGGGGGCGCTTTTCCCACCTCACATCTCATGTACCTGAGCACAATTTCAGAGGTGAAAATCGGGCTGAAATCGGGGTAAAATCAGGAAATCCGAGGCAGCAAGGGGGAGTTTTCCCACCTCACATTTTGCATTTCCCGAGCACAATTTCAGAGGTGAAAATCGGGCTGAAATCGGGGTAAAATCAGGAAATCCGAGGCAGCAAGGGGGCGCTTTTCCCACCTCACATCTCGTGTACCCGAGCACAATTTCAGAGGTGGAAATCGCGGTAAAATCGGGCTGAAATCGGGGTAAAATCAGGAAATTTGAGGCAGGAAAAGGGGGAGTTTTCCCACCTCACATCTTGTGTACCCGAGCACAATTTCAGAGGTGGAAATCGTGGTGAAATCGGGGTGAAATCAGGAAATTTGAGGCAGGAAGGGGGGCGCTTTTCCCACCTCATATCTCGTGTACCCGAGCACAATTTCAGAGGTGAAAATCGGGGTAAAATCAGGGTAAAATCGGGGTAAAATCAGGAAATTTGAGGCAGAAAAAGGGGGAGTTTTCCCACCTCACATCTCGTGTACCCGAGCACAATTTCAGAGGTGAAAATCGGGCTGAAATTGGGGTAAAATCAGGAAATCCAAGGCAGGATGGGGGCGCTTTTCCCACCTCACACCTTGCGTATCCCGAGCACAATCTCGGAAGGTAAAATCGGGGTAAAATCGGGGTAAAATCGGGAAATCCGACGCAGCAAGGGGGCGCTTTTTCCCACCTCACATCTCGTGTACCCGAGCACAATTTCAGAGGTGGAAATCGGGGTAAAATCGGGGTAAAATCAGGAAATCCGAGGCAGCAAAGGGGCGCTTTTCCCACCTCATATCTTGTGCTCGCCGCGCACGATGTGCGAGGAGAACTCGTAGCGGTC